GAATGTGCTTGTAGGAGAAGGTTTTTGTGCATGTCATGCCCCAACAGAGTAGCGCAATGAGGCTAGGAAGCACCTTCAGAGCAAATCCACGAGGCCCATTCTCCTCTCACCCCCTTTCTGCTGTGGCCAGAAAGGAGACAGCCGCATCCCCGAGGAGCAGCACGCAGCCCCAAGCTGCCTCTGGCTGGCCTGTGAGGTGGGAATCAGGTCCTTGGGATTGTTTTACAGGACTACTGATGTTGGACCATTAGGAGTCCTGGAGCATCTCTCTTACAAGGAAAAGGTGAGGGACTTGGGTCTTTTTCGTCTGGAGAAGAGAAGGCTGAGGGGGGATCTGATCAACGCCTATAAATACTTCAAGGGTGGGTGTCAGGAGGATGGGGCCAGTCCTTTTCCAGTGGTGTCCACTGACAGGACAAGAGGAAATGGGCACAAACTGGAACATAAGTTCCATCTAAACGTGAGGAGGAACTTCTTCACTTTGAGGGTGGCAGAGCCCTGGAAGAGGCTGCCCAGGAAGGTGGTGGAGTCTCCTTCTCTGGAGACATTCAAAACCCACCTGGACACGTTCCTGTGGGACCTGCTCTGGGTGGACGTGCTTTGGCAGGGAGGTTGGACTAGGTGATCTCCAGAGGTCTCTTCAAACCTCATATCATTCTGTGATTCTGCGACCACCTTGGAGGAGGTGCTGTGAAGCAAGGGCTTTTGTTGACATCGCTGTGCCCATGCTGCAGGGCAGCGAAGCTCTGCCAGCGAAACACTGACACTGCTGCACGCTTGATTGTGACCTCAAATGGGTGACACCTTGTGGGACAGCCACTTTGGCCAGGGTCTTCTGTCCCTCAGCCTTTACTGTAGCAATCCCCCTTCCCAGGAACTCGGAGAGGAGCTGGTACTGGCACTAGTGGCCCCAGGAGCGGTGGCTGGTGAGGGACATCTAGTGTCTGTGGGGAGCTTCACAGGGCAGAGGTGCTGGTGGGGCAGCTCAGGGCTGCAAAATATAGAACTTTCAGGATTACGGGGAAATGCTTGAAAACATCAAACAAGGATCGTCTGAAGACTTAGGCAACTGCAAGGAATTTTACATCTTTAGAATGGTGTGAATTTTTTTACGGGACGCTTTTTGGTGTTAACAACACCGCAACCCCCTTTTTATTACTTACGCTTCAGGCAGATAATTCTGGCAGGAGCATTTGTAATATGAGGAAAAATGGAAGTCAGTCAATTCCTCCCTGCTAAGATGGTTTCAAAGGACGGCCGATGCGCTCCTTTATATAGTGCTCTCAAAAGGATGTGGGCAGAAGACTTTACAAGGGAAACAGAGAACTGCAATATTTCTCAGATCGCTTCCCCCGACACATCCTCTTACCAAAGGCACAGCCCACGTATTGTTTGCTACATCAAAGTCTTCGAGGAGCTTACTGTCAGAAGACAGCTATGGTTTTGTACAGATGGAAACCGCAAGTTTCTTATAAATTAAAAAAAAATACAGGCAGTTTCAAGAGTGATCCCATGGGAAAGCCTTGCAAATGGTTAACTTGAGAAATAAATGCTTTCTCTTAAAAAAAAAAAAAAAGAAGATACTGTAAAACAACAGAAAATTCCTCTGAAGCCTATCCCATGGGAAAGCCTTGCAAATGGTTAACTTGAGAAATAAATGCTTTCTCTTACAAAAAAAAAAAAAGAAGATAAGAAGATACTGTAAAACAACAGAAAATTCCTCTGAAGCCTGCAGAGCTGACTTGAAAACTGTGCTGGAATGTGGTGTCTGAGCTTGTTACAGGGAATAAAACAGCCTTCTATATGAAGCTGGTAAACTAAAACTCACTCTGGCTTTATTTGCTGGGAGCTCACCATGCTCTGTGCCTAATTGCTCCTCCTAATTGTGAGTTCATGCTTTTAAAATTTTTATTCTACGCCCTTAGTTCATTAACTCTGAGAAATAAAATGTGTTTCATTAGCGAAATGCCATCTAATTCAGAATCAAGCAAATCAAGACTTAATTGCAGAAATGGAGCATCAACAAACAGCATTTAGACTCTCAAAGGCCCCAAAAGAGGGAATTTTTCTTTGTTGGCTTGTTGGGCTGCCGCTGAGGCGGGTGTAGGCAGGGGTGCACACACAGGGAATTTTGAGATCACTCCTTATCTTCTTTTTCCGTTCCCTTTTGTTTTTAGTGATGAGTCAGTAGTAACCAGTTTGCACCTCCCTGCTTACTTGACTGTCACTTGTCTTAAGACACAGCTGGGAAAATGGAAAGAAGTCAAGGCAACCATCTTATTAGAGTCAAAGCTAAAGCGGGATTAAAAAATGCCACGTGTTATGATTTATTCCTTGTGGTAGGGTAACGTCCTTTTCTCTAGCCAAGGTGATTTATGGCGAAAGTAAATAAAAGATGTATAGCATCAGTATATTTAATCATGCAGGGCTGATTTGAGTGCAGAGAACCTCAGAAAGATAAGATTCTGGAGAACGTGGTTTAATTTTTTTAGGCTTTGCCCTTTTTACTTGCCTGGAGCCTTCATCAGCAAAAAGCAGGTCTGTCAGAACACGCGGCGGCTGCTGCCGTTTGCTTGCTCTTTCTCTTCTGTGCCTGGAGGAGCCAGCAAAGGAACGTCCCCGCTACCTTTCCTTTCCCAGGTTTATTTATAGCTTCCTTGTCTTGGGCTTCTTGAAGGCCAGCATTTGTATGGTTCGTGTGTGCTGGTTTTGCAACTGTTTTTGGACCCATGTGGTTCACAGGTGGTTATTTTTAGGCGAAGCAGCTCCTGTCGCATTGGCAGCCTGTCTTTTCCGCCCCTTGACAAAAACAGATAGAGATCTGTTTCTTTTAAAGATAGATTCAAACTGGGCTGTGTCTCTTCATGCTTCCAAGACCTTTCCCACTCAGCAGTTAGCCCAGAAGCTCCTGCTGGTGCTGGGTTTTTTCTCAAGACCGTGGCCTCAGCGTGAGTTCTTTGGTCTGGGGTTTTCCTGCCCTTCTTCTGATGTTTTACGTTTTGTGGACCTATGTCTTAGACACCAGCCTTCATTTTGGCTGCTGGTGAACAAATGGTCACATATCTGCTCCCTTGAAACCAGCCCTTTTGTGCAAGTTTAACAAGAAACTCGTAACTGCATGTCCCTTTAGTATTAAAGCGATACCTGCCCTGTATTGGTATTGTAACTTCCAGAAATTAGTGAATTTTTTAAGCATTATAATGTCTTGAAAAATAGCACAGCCTACTCCCTTCCCCCCCCCCAAACTTAAGAGAGGTTAAAAGTAAGCTTATAATGCAAATTACCATATGCCACAACTTTAATTATATGGAATCATTTCTGTGGCTGCATAATAAGAGCTTGCAGAAAACCCTCTGCAGAGAGTATGATGACATTCTGGAGCCTCGTGGATCCTTGAACACAGCTCCCTCCCATTCCAACCCTCAAACCAATTGCTGGGATGCCAGTTAAAAAAAGAAAAAATCTACCCATTTTCAGGTTCTTGAGAATCTTTCAATGTTATAGTGTTAAATAAGGCCCAGGACAGCCAGAGAGCTATGTGGAGTGGGCATCACTCCTGCTGGGTGCTAATGTAGCCATTTAACGAGTCATATGTTAATATAGCAGCCTGAGGGTAAAGAAGGGCCTCTTGGGTTGTAATCTTACATCTGAGGTATGTAATAAGCATTAGTCTACTGCCACACTACCAGTTTATTCATTCACTGAGCATTTATATGACAGTAAAGTATATACCCAACTGAAACAATACCTGTTTTTCCCCCCTGAACCCATTTTGTAAAATTGGCTTCAAACCGCATTGGTGGTTTCACCCACAGCATTGATGTCACCGTTCCCATAGTAATGAACGTGCTTCAAAGAGGGCAGACTATTTAAAGAATAAAAATTGGAGGAAAAATGAAATGAGAACGATGCTTTATATGTTGGAAATTTTTAAAAGTTCTAAATATTTCATTTTAAATCCGTTTCAATCAAGCATGCGTGCCCTGAGACTTTCCAGACTTCATCTTGGCTTCTGTGAGTAGAGGAAACCATCCCTTCCGAATCTGGATAGATGCCATCAGTAATGTCTCCTTTGAGGCATTTTGGTGGGAGTGGCCCCATTTGGCACACTTTTAATGCTGACTTTTCCAGCAGTGCCAGTTGCCACTTGTTGCCCTTGTTGGGTGGGAGTTCTCCAGGTAGCGAGTTTTCCAGTCACTGAAGCATCCCAGATCCCAGATGATTTCTGTAGAACAATGGCTTAGGTGTGCTTTCCTCCTCACTTAAACTCATGAGAAGTCAGTCAGTGAAGCGACTGTTACTTGCCGAAGATAAAGTAAGTGTGGGACAAGCAAAAAAAAAATCCCTGCCCTCATTTCATCACTGCAATACAGTCTATTCTGCTTATTTTAGGCTGTACTGAAGCAGCTTCCGAGAAATCCTGCTAGGAAGCAGGATCGTTACAGTTTGCTTAGCAAAGATCCCCTTAAAGAATGCCAGAGGCCTCAGGATTATATTTAGGGAAGGACGGAATCAGGAGTGCATAAACTACCTAATGAGAGACCATTCTGATGCCATTTGATTTTAATACCTTCATGTTTATTGAACAAGAACACTGTCTTCTCATCAGCTGACTACTGAAATCACTGTGAGAGACCAGCTAAGACTCACATCATGTCACACAAGCACTGTCGTCTCTGAGTGGAAGTGTATGCACAGATGTCTCACGCAGCTGTGACTGCTAACGAGCATAAATGGGACAATCTGTTGCTGTTTCTCAGCCCGTCTGATGTCTTGGGCGACATTGCGAGGGTGCTTTTCCGTTCAGGAGATCGAGTTCTGCTTCATCAGGTGCACGTATGCACATTTGGAGACTTACTGGAATTGTTGTATTGCTGCAAATCCTGCTGCTTGTCACTGTTTTGTCTTGTCAGTTTATACATTTTGCTGGTTTCAGCATCCACGGTTCTAACTACTCGATGTGTCTTTTTTCCTCCTTTGCTGCGTGCTGATGACTGCAGGGAAGGATGGGTAAGTTGCTTTTAATGATATTTCACATTCCAGCTGCAGTTGTTGTGCATTGAGTCTTTGAAAACTCCTCAAAATTGTCCAACAATCCACAGGCTTCATAGAGTATGAGCTTAAATCCAAGTTACTGTGGCTTGACAAATTACTGCCACTGGTTGAACAGCAATGACTGACCACGTGAAACTAGTTTAAGCAAACACGTTGGAAGGAGGGATGTGTCTGTGGTCAGCTGCTGCTCTGTGGCCATAAGTTTCATGGCACGTGGTCAAACCTATTGAGTTCCTTATTTTACAACAGAATGAATAAGGATGGAAGGTTTAAAGTTTTATTTCTAGACAAAGACTCTTTCAGGCCGCAGACTATTCAGATACCTGAGAAATATTTAGCTGGAATGGACATGATTGGGTACAGATGAAAATCTCCTAAGTTTGTGTCCTGACTTGCTCAATGAACTGCTTCTCGTACTAGCTAGAATGCCACCGATGAAGATGGTGCCTGTGGGAATGTGATCCAAATCCCTTTGAAGACAAGAGAAACATTACCAGCGTCTTCTCCGGGCTTCTCTTCTTCCTCCTCTGTGTTGCCTTTAGTCTGCTGGTATAGAAAAAAAATTGCTAACATCATTTTGAAAGACCTGTGTTTCTTCCATTTCAGTGAAGCAGAGCTGGTATTTGAGGAGTTTGCTCGTCAACAGCTAAAAGATACGCCTGATGATGAAGATAAGAATATGTCCTCAACTGATGAGTGACTAAAAGAACAAGCTGCCAGAGAAGCGATGTAGTCTGGCATCAATTAGAAATTTAGGAGATAGGTTTCTAGCAAACCGCATGTTCTCAGTGCATGCATCATCTTCCAGGGATCAACCCTGAGATCAGTGGATGTAAAATAATGAATCTCTGTTGCTTATTAAAAGTTTCAACTCTAGAAGAATGTAGCAAACTCAAAACCTGATGCTTACTCGAGCTACCAGAGGAGGGCAGGAAGGCTGCCATGCCATGACTTTGGCTTTCCTGGCTACTTAATAAAAGAGTCGGTTGCTTTCACCACTGATGAGAGCTTAAGTGATCATTTGTGCAGCCTCCTAGACTTACTTGGTGTCAAAGGGCCTCTGACTTTGAAATGCTGGTGAACCTAGTCCTAGTCCTGCAGCCTCTGGTAATCCATTGAAGTTTCTCAGCGAACTGTGCAAAACTGATTTTATTTCCTTTTGGTTGTCTTTTGCATTTCTGCTTTACCAAACTCATCTAGCGAATGTTCTCAGTGCTTGCACTGTCCCCATGTGTGGCTTACATCCAGTTTCTGTACCATAAAATGTCTCACAAGTCATCTTCCTCAGCGGCTGTAATGTTGAGATATGACGTTAGCTTTCTAGCAATATGGTTAACAACCACGTTATTAAAGATGAGAGAAATGTGCACTGTCCATGAATTCCTTAACAGATCTCCCTGCATACAACCCCAAACAGAGAACTGCTAGTCCAGACTGATCCTGTATTTAATCTAGTTTCCTGCATGCAACAGCGCTTCAAAAGAAGGTGCAGTAAAATTAAGGAGGAAATTACGGGGCAGCCTGCCCTGAGGAGCCTTTTCCAACATCCATCTGCCAGAGGTCGGTTTATGCTCTAAGAAATGATATTGTATCCTGCAAACTTTGTTCTCTCTTGTTGATCTGGATATTCTCCTTATCCATGTAAATGTCTAATCTTTTCCTGAATCTCACTTACACTTTGGCTGAAGTGGGTTGCATCAGCTAATTACATTTTGCATGTAAAATGACCAGTGTTTCTTCCTCCTTGTTTTTGCTTTTAATCTGCTTTTCGGTGTCTCTGGTTTAAATTCTCCTGGAAAGTCTGAATGCAGGGCTTGTATTTATTAATATAAACTTATGTTTCCCACCCTATGCCTTGGTAAATGGAATTTAGAGCTTCCCACTTCTATCACAGTTGACAACAATGTGCTTTTAACAGAGAAGAAAATGAAGGAGACATTTTTGAGATGAAGGGCAAATTGGAGAGGTTCCTACATGGCTTCAGAGAGGCAGTTTGGGCATGGTTATCTGCTGGGTGGCTGAGGGCAATTCCAGGAGGCCCTGAGGACAGTTAGGGGGTCCTTGGCAGACTCTGAAGGACATTTTGGGACAGCTGCAGACAGGCACCTGGGAAACAGCTTGTTATGAGGTTCCCTGAGGAGCATTTAGGGGTTCACAGGGGGATTTGTGGTGAAAGCTGCTGTGGGCGCGTTGCGCTTCCATCCTGCTCCGGGCCACAGAGGCTGCACAAACTGAGCTTGCCTACTTTCAGGCTTAGCTTTATTGTCGATAACTACAAAAAGCCAGAACAGCTTGCTCTGGAGAACAGCGTGGGCCCACACTGCAGCATTTCTGCAGAATTGTTTTATATACAGGCATCATTTTTTTGAGCAGAGGCTTGTTTGTTCATTCTTCTTGACACCATCACTGTTACGAGCCTTACTTTTGTGGGTTGTCTAAAGGCTGTAACCAAGCAGCTTTACTATGTGGCCTCTTACGCTTACAAATAGGTTGGGTTAAAAGTGAAGCTGCCTTCTGTTTTGCTTCTGTAAACTGGTCTTGATGAAGCTGTTGAAAGCAGTGAGTGAAGACCACAGCTGATTTCGCAGTTCCATCAGTGCTCTCACCTACTACCACCTGTCAGAGTGTTTGGCTTAATTAGTCACAGCTGTCTCCCCTTAGATGAAATCGCTGGAAGCAGCATGTTTGCTCTGCTGTTTGTGAACGTGCTGGTCTCGGAGAGCTGGTATTCAGGAAACCCTCTGAAGATGTGAAGAGGAGGAGGAGGAGGAGGAGGGGAGGACAGTGTGTGACAATCTTCCAGTATTGCTTGGAAGTGTGGCTTCCTCCACAGAGGTGTTTCTTTTGGTGTTCCTGGCTACTGGACCTGTAAGTATGGGACTAGAAAACTTAGAGGTCTGGTTATTTATTTAATTTTATGTCAAATTTGTGAGGCACCTCTGTCGCTGCCTCAAGTTCATCTGTGGTGGTGACTTTAGTAAGCCAGCTGTGTAACGAAATCAGTGGGGAGGAGCCGGAATGGCTGTTAAATCTGTCCTTTTGCCTGGGCTTAGGAAAGCACTTACAGACATAGGCTGTTTGTTCAGCCCACGCTGGACATTTGCTTGCTTGTGGAGAGAAGTGAGTTCTTTCTGCTGGCTCCTTCAGCTCCCCTTCCTCGGCGGACACTGACCTCTGTCAGCAGAAAAGAGGTCTCTGACTGGAACCGTTTGCCTTTTATCTTGCCTTTCTGGTTCTGACCTCTAGCCTGTTACTCATATTTATATCTGGAGGAGGGTGATCCCTTCTCCTGACCCCTCTCTGCCTTTGTGGTGGGGCTCCATTTGTAGAAAGCCTGCCAGCTCCAGGAGAGGGGAGCACTCGGGTAGCAATAGCATCTCTGAAACTGCTGCTTTTGAACAGAACTTTTATCAAATATGTGACCACAGCTGCCTGCTGACGGGTCTGCTCTGGTGGCAGATGCTTTGCCCTCCTCCATCATGAAAGGCCCCATCCTGTCCCATCGCTGCAGCTCAGGGGGTGTGAGACAAACAAGTGCTTCAGGGCTGAGCTACCTGGGGCTGATGGAGCCCAGGGGGGATGGTGCGTGTGGGGAAAGGCTGAGTCAGGCAAGAATGTTTCCCTGCTGAAAAATAAAGCGGCGTTTGGCTGCTTTGGTGCTGAGAGAGTGACAGGCCCCTCTGTGGCTGAAAGGCCGTGTAAGATGTAGCAGGTGCAAAGTACCATTTTGGGCAGGAGGAGGTCTTACCCCCGGGGGCAGGAGGTGTTAATAACTCAGGTCATTTTATTAAATGTGCTGAAAACGGCCGCAGGAATCCCTCTGTTGGGATCACCACCCCAGGCCGGACTATTGCTCTGGCCCCGAAGAGCCACGGGGCTGCATGAGGGGTGGCCGGGCCGGGCCCTCCTCTCCTCAGCGCTTCCCCTCAGCCCTGGGCGCCGGCGGCCGCCAGGGGGCGCGGCAGCGGCGGGCGGCTGCAGAGCGCGGCGGGCGGCG